TTGGACCCCTGCCTACTACCACATCTAAAATGCCAGATAAACACATGAAAAAAATGCCCTATGTCTTTATCACTAGGGAAGTGAACATCAAAACCACAATTAGAGACCTCTTCATGCATACTAAGATGGCAAAAATAATAAAAATTGAAAATAACAAGTGTTGGTGAGGATGTAGAGAGGACGGAACTGTTGTTATCAAAAGCTCAGACTTGTCCCTGAGTCCACATCAGAAGGACGAAGACAAGTGGTTGAGGAAAGGAAAAAGAGATTTAATACTAATTTGACAGCAAATGAGCAGGATGGAGGGAGACTCCTTTCTTAAAATGCCTTTGTCCTAATCATAAGTGGAAATACAGAGCTTTTAAAGGAAGGGTCCTCAGCTTCAGGGTATGTTGTTCAACTACAGTTAATGGTTCTGATTGGTGCCATTCCTTGCAAAGATAATCCTGTGACCTCTGGCTCACACCATCTCCTGTGGCACAAAGAACAAATGACACTCCCTTGCCACTCCTGACCACTGGCTTGGGGCAGGGATGAAGGTTTTAATTCCCAAAAAGGAGTATGAGAAGTTTTAAAGAGACAGAAAATATTTTTACCATTTTTTTCAGACCGTTCCCTCTGTTGGACTGTGGTGGCTTATTTTGTACATCAATATGACTTGGCTAAGGGATGCCCAGATAGCTGGTGAAACATTACCTCTTTCTTTCTTTCTTTCTTCTTTCTTTCTTTCTTTCTTTCTTTCTTTCTTTCTTTCTTTCTTTCTTTCTTTCTTTCTTTCTTTCTTTCTTTCTTCTTTTTTTTCAAACAGGGTTTCACTCTGTTGCCTGGGTTGGAATGCAGGGCCATCATCATAGCTCACTGGAACCTCCACCTTCTGAGCTCAAGCATCCTCTTGCCTGAACCTCTGGAGTAGCTGGACTACAGGCCTGCTCACAATGCCCTGGCTATTAAAATGTTATTTCTAGGTGTGTCCGTGCAAATAAATGCAGAAGAGATTAGCATTTGAGTCAGTAGACTGAGTAAAGAAGATGGTCTTCAGCAATGTGGGCAGGAAGCATTCAATTCGGTGAAGGCCCAAATAGAACAAACAGGTGGAAGCAAGGCCAACTCACTGTCTTCTCTTCAACTGTGACATCCATATTCTCCTATTCTCAGAAATGAATGCTCCTGGTTCTTGGGCATTCAGACATGGACTGAGACTTACACCACTGGCCTCCAGTTTTCAGGCCTTCTGACTGGGACTGGGACACACAACTTTGGTCCTTTTGGTTCTTAGGCCTTTGAGCTTGGACTGGCCGGTGACAACTGGCTTTCCTGGGCCTCCAGCCTGCAGAGAGCAGATGATGTGCCTTCTTAGCCTCTGTACTTGTGTGAGTTAATTCTTCATAACAATCTCTGTCTTTTTCCCTCTCTCCATATAATATGTGTGTGTGTGTGTGTGTGTGTGTGTGTGTGTGTGTGTGTGTGTGTGTTCTGTTTCTTTGGAGAACCCTGAATTTACAGGAACCCTCATACATTTTTGGTGGTCATGTATAATGGTGCAGCTGCTTAGAAAATTGGTGGCAGTTCCTCAAACTGTTAAACATAAATTTATCCTATGACCCAGCAAATCCACTTCTATATGTGTACCTAAGACATTAGAAACAAGAACTCGTACCTAAATGTTCATGGCATCACTATTCATAAAAGCCAAAATGTGGATCATACCCAAATGTCCATCAAGTCCTGATTGGGTAGACTAAATGAGGTTTATACATACTGGAATATTATTCAACTAGGAGATGGGATGATGTTCCGATACGTGCTACAGCAGGATTAAACGTGACAGACATTGTGCTAAGCAAAAGAAGCCAGTCTTAGCAACCACATATTGTTTTACCCTGTTAATATAAGATATCAAAAATAGGTAAATCCATGGGGACCAAAAGCAAATTAATAATGCTCATAGTGGCTACATGAATTAACCAAAGATGGCCTTTGTATACTGGCCTCTATGTCATTCATTTCTAAATGCAAGCTTATTTTTAAGTGTCCTGTGAAAACTCAACTTTTACAATTTAGTCACTTCAAAGAACACACAAAGAAGCAGATTTTTAGCCACTTAGAGGACGCTTGTTTTTCGTATCCCAAAAAATCTCACCCAAGATTCTTGGCAGTAGACAAGCCCCAGGTTACGAAAACCCCAAACAGCTGCTGTGCTTGGAGCCCCCTGACCCAGAGGCTCCCCACTGTGCTGCTGTGTGACCTCTCCAGACCCAGGGTCCCTCCGCCCTTCTGAGAAGCAGCCCTGGCAACTCAGCCTCTGGACTGTCTCCTGCTGACAGGGACTTCTCCCTGCAGACCTGTCACACTTCACACAGTCACACTTGTGTGTGCTACTGCCACCCTGTGTCCTTTCTTTCCCCGTGACCATCCCCCTGATACCGCAAACTCCTTACATTCAGTATCTGACTCTGCAACCCAAAAACCTGACTGACTCCAGCATAATGGACAGGAACAATTCCACTTCCAAGACTCTCTTCCCAATTCCTACCAATAATATACTTGCTTCCAATTTTATGGATCCGAAACTCACAGCAATAGGTAAAGGAGACACAACTATGACAATTACTTTATAACTCCTTGGCTACATAATGTACCCATAAAAGTCAAGTGACCTTGGTCCAGACTAGAGAAACATAGCGGCTTGCTCCTTAAGTGGACACAAATGAAGATTATTTTATGCCCTTACTCTTATTATCAGTGAACAATATGCAGTGACCAGCTTTGCCTGCTGTTGTTGAAGCCTGGGCAGAATGTACGAACATATAGGAGGGAGAGATTCCTGTTCAAAATTAGGATTATTATTCTCTGAGTCTATAAGTAGCATAGGATAGTTTTAAAGCCTTTTATGAACAAAGAAGAATTTTTATAAGATTTTACACTTTCTAAAGATATAAAAGCAACATGTTATAAGGTAAAACAACCAATCATGATGGCAGACTTTTTAAAGTTTTATTAATTTTCACCCCAGACAGCAATAATCTGTGAAATTCAAGCATCTTAATAAATACTTAGAAAAGATAATGTTTTCACGAATTGACTTCTAGTAAAAGAAAATGGGAGAGATTGCTTGCTGTTTCTTATTTTCTCATACTTCCAGTTTTCATATTGGAGAGTAGGTAGAACTGAGTCTTTGACACCCTTTCAAAATAATTCTTTAAAACCAATCCAATGATAATACATACCACAGTGTTTTCTTTTTAATTAGCATATTTGATTATTTTGTGTTTCTTTTTCTCTTTTTCTTTTCACCATCTGATGTTTATGACTCTCATCACTTATGGTTAATTAGGAATCTGACCTATTCCATACTAAGAACCAGAATTGAATTGGTCAGCATTCTTATGAAAGAAAGTAATTACAAAAAACTGACAACATTTAATGAAATAAAAGCATACAAATTTTAAATAGTGAAATATGAGACTTTTATTCTAATCCTACACCCTTTCCACAATTTGTAATTACCAACCCATATTATTGCCATGGACTTCAACATTTAAAGGTCAATATGAATTTTACTCAGTTAACTCTTTAAAACTTATTAAAAGGTTTATTTTGGTTGATTTCACAGAAGATATTTAGACCAAGATTTCTTGTGGAATCATACCTAGAACTGCATTTGTTTGCTTGCTTGTGTTCTTTATCAATTAAGTGTGACTTGGGTTAAATTACCCAAGAACACATGGCAGTACCAACAATTTTTTAATTGCTTTAGGGTTTTTTTGTTTTGTTTTTATTGTCCAGTACAATGACTCTCCTTGTGAAGTGAGTTGGTGTAGGCACCATTTTTCATGAACTATTCAATTCAATACTAAGTGCATTACTGACAAGGGAAGAACAGCCAGGTTGTTTCCCTGTTTTAATGATCATTGTGTGATAGATTGACATCCCTCAGCTGTGACTATGTTCAAATGAAAGCACTCATAGGTACAGCTGACCCTGAGACGGAAAACTGTGGATTGACTTCTTGCTTTTCTCATGTGCAGAATTTCCCTTTGAACCTGTGAACTCACGGCTGTGGCTGCCCCACAAAAAGTACAAGACAGAGACTCAGGTCCTCACTCGGAGTGGACAAGAACCCTTCACAGGACCTGATCCCACACAACAAGAAAGACTGTGTGGAAAGCGTTTTTATAAACACCACCCAAGAAAACAATGTAGGTATTTCTTATTAATTCTCTGCAGTTATCTAGGAAACTCTTCCCTTAATATATCCCTCTTGCAAATCTGCTATATGTGAGGTAATTATGGTGAGACATCCATGAGATATTGATCACCAGGAATTTTCTACTCACTGTCTGCAGAATACAATTCTCTTCCTCTTTTCTATTATTTAAGCTGGGTTGTTAGCTATCTAATATCAGAGACACATGACATTCTCCATGCCAAGGCCCTTGACAAGGCACTTTTATGGAGTTAAATCACTAGGTCCCTGGAGAAAACATTTTCTAACACTTGCATTTAGCATCCTTGAATAGTTACCCAGGTGCCAGCAGATAACAGACAACTCTTGAACTAACTCAAGACCGTCCTACTATATGGAGATCCTCTGCCCTGTGGATGGGGCTCTTTCCTGCTCTAGTTTCAGTGTGAGGGGTCCAAGCAGGATGGGATTCACCTCTCACAGGTTAACCCTAGACACACATGTATATTACACATTATCAGGGTCCTTGTGCTTTCTCAGAGTGGCACATATTGTGCAATGTATCCTGGCCCAACATTCAAACACTCATAGCCAGATCCTGCTTCCTTCTACGACAGGCAAATTTAACTTCAGCTGTACTTGCCCTCCTGCAAGAGACATTTTTTATCACTTTGCTCACCAGGGAGGTTCCCAGCCCCCATTGGCTCTTCCACTCCACTGCACCCACCAGGGCATTTGCATACTGTCCCCTGGGAGGACCTTCCCTTGTGAGTCTGAGATAAAGCTCAACCCTAAGCTGGCCTGGACTGACCAGGACTCCTCAGTCCAACTTCTCAAAATGAGGCTCCCTGCTCAGCTCCTGGGGCTGCTGGTGCTCTGTGTCCCAGGTAAGGATAGAAGGAGAAGAGGAAGGAGAACGGGGAGTGGGTGTGCTCAGGGAATCTGGCCCTCCCAGCTCCCCATGTTTATTGTAACCATGCGTTGGAGACATATTGTCTTTGTTCCTGGGAAGGAAATTTATATTTTGACCTTTGAATAATGAGGGACCCTCTAAAAACTACAATGATGAGGGACATGATTAAGATCTTGAAAAACAATGTTCCTTGTGCCTAGTAAGTAATGGGCTTATTTTAGAAACTTTATTTGTATCATATGAATCACAATTTGTAAAAAACAATAACTTTAAATAAATAACATGAGAAAAATCCTGAAAATTGCTCATAATGATATGGATAACATTGTACTACTTCTCTCTCATTCTTCCAGGATCCAGTGGGGAGATTGTGATGACCCAGAGTCCACTGTCCCTGCCGGTCACCCCTGGAGAGCCGGCCTCCATCTCCTGCAGGTCTAGTCAGAGCCTCCTGCATAGCAATGGAAACACCTATTTGGATTGGTACCTGCAGAAGCCAGGCCAGTCTCCACAGCTCTTGATTTATAGGGTTTCCAACCGGGCCTCTGGGGTCCCAGACAGTTTCAGTGGCAGTGGGTCAGGGACAGATTTTACGTTGAAAATCAGCAGAGTGGAGGCTGAGGATGTTGGAGTTTATTACTGCGTGCAAGGTACACAAACTCCTCCCACAGTGCTACAGTCCCGAACACAAACCTCCCTGCTGTGGAGGCCCAGCTGCCTACAAGGGCTGCTTCTCTGGGGAGCATCTCAGCAGGTCCTCTGAGTCTGCAGAAGAGGAGGCTGGTGGAGAAACAGAGAGAGTTTGCAGCTGAGGACTCTGGCCCCTGAGAACCTCAGCTGCTCCTCAGGTCCCTCATGTTAAGGCCCATCACCTGCACAGCCTAGGCAGGGCCTGAGCAGCAGGAGAATTCGGATGGTCCAAGTGCCCTGTGAGCAACCAGCTATGATGAAAGAGAGAGCAAATCAAAGCTCATCCTCATCCTGTCTTGCCTGTTTTTGAAACCAGACAATGGATGCAGATTAGTGTCCACACAGGTTGAATACATAGTGGAGATTACCAGTTGAGTTTTTTTTTTTAACAACATAATTCTTGATAACATTGGGAAATTGGTATTTTCTTATTTTCCCACTGCCTACTCCTCCACCATGCACAGGAAACTGTCCTTTCCACTATCATGTTTGAGAAAGCATCTACACAAGCTGTCCTCAGGGGAAGTATGGATAACAATCATTAATAAAAATGTTTGATTTTTGACTATGCAATTAGACTTTGTATATTATTAGTAGATATAAGATCATAATGCCAAAAGAATTTGATTTGCCTCAATTACCTTTAGCAGCATGAAAAAAGTTTCTTGCAATTCCAAAGTGAGCTTTCAAAGTAAACAGCATAAACTTCAAAGATGAAGACTCTAAAGTTTACTTGATATACCACAAGGAAAATTCAGAATTATATGAGATTTTTCTTTCTATCCAAAATTCTATTTACTTTTAAAGTATTTAAACTAAATACTATTTTAGAGATTAAAAATTGAGTACTATGTTGTAACAAAATTTTCAAACAATATAAAAAATGTTACATTCACCTGAAATCATCCTGACCTCAAAAATGAATATAAATTCTGTTTTTATTATAAGTGCACAAAAAATTCTTTTTATTTCAGCATATTATGGGGGTACAAATCTTTAAGCACAGAAAACTTATGCCTTCATTAGATTCCATTTAAAATATTGATCTAAAATTTTATCAGACCTAATATTGAGTCATATCAGTAGCTTGTCATGACAAGATGTGCTAGACTAAAATAATGATTGAAGTGACAGAATAACAAAATTTGCTGGATGCTCAGTGTGTAAAATATGAATGAGACTATTGTCTATTCCAAGATAATGGACTCAATGGCTAGTGCATTTAAAATTCCAAAGTGTCGTTTCTTTTAGATATTAAAGTTGTAGGGCAAAATTCAGATAAAAATCAAGCAGACTGGAGCCCTCAAATTATGAGATATAAGACACTTAACGTGTTATTTAAAGGTCCAACAAAAGCATCTTTGAACTTAAAAAGTATCATGGAATGAAGAAGGAGAAAACAGAGTGTACATAGAAAGAGTAGATTTAAGCAATGCTGTAATTTTCCTTAGCCTTCATGTGATTGCCAAAACCTAGTGACCTTGAATTTCTGCTTTGATGTGAGTTAGTGAATAAGACCTAAACCCCTTCCAAGTGGTTGGATGTATAAAATAATCCTTCATGATGTTGATATTCTATAGGGATATAATCTCAATATAAAGCAGTAAAAAACAAATGGTCTCCCAAAGCTGACAGGGCATACAAGATGAATCAGAGGAAAACAGAATTGGCTGCTACAAAGAAACCTTGAAATATAATGGGCTAAATGTGATAAGGTTTCTCTGTCTCTGGCTTAACAGTCCAGATGTAGGGAGGTGGCCTTGGGGTGTGAGGGGCTCTGCTCCATGAGGTCACTCAGGTGGGCAGGGGCACTGCCACCCTCAGCATACAGCTTTCCTCCCCTTTCCACTATCACTGCTTCCCGATGTTCATTCCTCAGCCAGTATGAGGTGGAACAAATGACAAAAAAGCTGTTTTCTTGTTAAAACCAAGAAACGTTGAGCTTTCTATCAGTGACTAATGTCCTTTTGCCTAAATCACATATCTGAAAATTTCCATAGAAGGACCTGCGGATAAAGCTACCTTTTGTTACTTTTCATTTAATGTTTTTATTTCAGCATATTGCAGGGGTACAAATGTTTAGGTTACATATATTGCCTTTGCCCCACCCGAGTCAGAGCTTCAAGTGTGTCCATCCCTCGGACGGTGCACACCACACACATTAGGTGTGAATATACCCATCCCCTCCTCCCACACCACCTGCCTGACACCCAATCAATGTTACTACTATATGTGCACTTATGTGTTGGTCAGTTAATTAATATCAATTTGTTGGTGAGTACATGTGGTGCTTGTTTCTCCATTCTTGTGATACTTCACTTAGTAGAATGGGCTCCAGCTCTATCCAGGATAGTACAAGAGGTCTAGATCATAATTGTTTTTGTGGCTGAGTAGAACTCCATGGTAACCTATACCAGATTTTATTAATCCACTTATGTATTGATGGGCACTTGGGTTGTTTCCACAAACAATTCACAATTGTTTGCAATTATGAATTATGCTGCTATAAACATTCCAGTGTAGATGTCTTTTAAATCTGAAAATTCATTTACATGATTCTAGGAAATGAGTTTATGAGTATAAAATTAAATTTGTGGCAGCTTACTTAGACTTGTCATTTACTATTTGATCATTACTGTCAAAAAGCCATCTGTCAGAGGTGGAGCAAGATGGCGGACAAATAATACCGCCAGACAGAGTGTCTCTGTAGAAAAGACAGATTCTAGCAGAAATTAGAGGAAGGAAGCAAGAAGAAGAGCATACAGCGGACAAGGGCCAGAAGGAGGGGTACCTGAGACCCCAGGAGACTCCACGGGAGGAGGCTGCGGAGGAGAACTGGAGGCTGAGACCACCGGAGCAGCCCGGAGACCAGCGGCAAGGGTAGGTGGATTTGCTGTTTCCCCTCCCCTGCATTCGGGACTGCTGGTGGGCTCCCCAGCGGGTGG